GCGACCAGGGTGAGCTCTCGCTCTTTGCCCAGGAGGTCACTCTCCTCACGCCCTGCTTGCACCAGCTGCCCGACGAGTACTACGGCTTCAAGGACCAGGAGCAGCGTCACCGCCGCAAGTTCCTCGACTTGATCATGAACGACCACACCCGCAGCACCTTCATCACCCGCTCCAAGATGGTCACCTACATCCGCAACTACTTCGACACCCGCGACTTCATCGAGGTCGAGACCCCCATGATGAACGCCATTGCCGGTGGTGCCACCGCAAAGCCCTTCAAGACATACCACAACGACCTCGATATGGAGCTGTACATGCGTATTGCCCCCGAGCTGTACCTCAAGCAGCTGATTGTTGGTGGTCTCGAGCGTGTCTACGAGATCGGCCGTCAATTCCGTAACGAGGGCATCGATCTCACCCACAACCCCGAATTCACCACTTGCGAGTTCTACGAGGCATATGCCGATGTCTACGATCTTATGGATACTACCGAAGATCTCGTCTCCAACCTTGTCAAGCACTTGACCGGCGGCTACGAGACCAAGTTCGAGACCCAGCACGGCGAGGTCTACACCGTCAACTGGGCCAAGCCCTGGAAGCGCATTGAGATGATCCCCGCCCTCGAGGACGCCTGCGGTGAGAAGTTCCCCGAAGGCGATCAACTGCACAGCGACGAGACCAACGACTTCCTCAAGCGCATGCTCAAGAAGATGAACGTCCAGTGCTCTGCCCCTCTCACAAACGCCCGCATGCTCGACAAGCTTGTCGGTGAATTCATCGAGGAAAAGTGCATCAACCCCACCATGATCACTGGCCACCCCCAGATGATGTCCCCTCTTGCCAAGTACCACCGTAGCAACAAGGGTCTCTGTGAGCGTTTCGAGGCCTTTGTCTGCAAGAAGGAGATTGTCAACGCCTACACCGAGTTGAACGATCCCTTCGACCAGCGTCTTCGTTTCGAAGAGCAGGCTCGCCAGAAGGAGCAGGGTGACGACGAGGCCCAGCTTGTCGACGAAACTTTCTGCCAGGCTCTCGAGTACGGTCTGCCACCTACTGGTGGTTGGGGTATGGGTATCGACCGCATGGTCATGTTCCTCACCAACCACTACTCGATCAAGGAGGTTCTTACCTTCCCCTTTATGAAGGACGACAAGTCGCAGGGCGAGAAGCCCAAGGCCGCCGAGGTTGTCGACGTCACTCCCATGCCTGAGGAGGGTATTCGTAAGTCTTGTAATCTTCCTTGTTGAAATCCGCTTACTGACATGCTCTTCCTTACAGCCCACAAATAGACAATCAAATGAATCTTGTCCGATCATATGAGCAGTACCTGTAAAACCAGCCGCGCGCACATGGAAAAGAAGAAAAAACACCGTCACATAGACGATTCAATACACGCCTTTTTTTTTCTCTTTCATTCCTTGCAAATCTTTTCCGAGGTATTTGTAATAGAGTATTGATGCCTATTGTGATATCATAAGAACAGTAGAATAAGAGAAAAAGGGGTGATGTAGTTCCCGTATACGCCGCAAGAAAAGAGAAGCCCCCGCTTCCCATGTAAAAGTGTATCAAATGCGTATGTTGTTTTTGAATCGTCGTAACAGAAAAGAGACCTCTACATGATGACCTCGTTGGTCACGTCTCTGCGGAGATCCTTGTAGGGCAAGCACACACAGTTCTGGACGCGCACCTCATCGCCGACATTGCACTCCTTGCCCAGGATGGTGACACTCTGGACTTTGACTCCGTTTTTGACGATGGTGGTGTGGTGCTCTCTGACAGGAGTGGGAGTACCCTCGACACGAGCCCAGGCTCCAACGCGTGAAGACCAGCCGATGATGGAGTAGAGAACGCAAGCGTCGTGCTTGATCTCGGCGTCTTCTAGAACGATCGAGTCCTTGATACGAGCACCAGCACCAACCACAGCACGAGGACCGATTGACACGTTGGGACCAATCTTGGCGGTGGGGTCTACCTGCGCTGAAGGGTGGATGTAGACGGGCGGGAGGATAGTGGCGGAGGGTTTGGCAAGGTCGTCGCTTTGCTGCTGGAAGGCCTTCATCAGGTAGAGGGCGTTTGCGGGCACGGCGGAACCGGCAGTCTTGATCTGGCGCCAAAAGTCGGTCGTTTCGAGGACGAAGAACTTGGAGCTGTCTGCGAGGTCCGACAGAATATCCTGCTCAAGACGGATGACCTCGTTCTTGCGGTTCTCATCGTCGTCGTCCTCTTCGGCATTGTTGAGCGAAAAGTCGCGGCTGTCGAGAGCCTCGGACGAGGGGTAGGACAACAGACGGGGACGGTCGCTGCGACGCTTGATGGCAGTCTTGATGCTGGGGAAAATGCACTCGGTGCTAAACAGGTAGACACCGCAGTTGATCAGGTTGCTGATGTGGCCCTCGGGCTTCTCGACGTAGTGCAGAACACGCTTGGTGTGGGTATCGCTGACAATGCACCCGAAGTTGGTGGCAGCCTCGTTGGAGACGCGTGTTCCCAGAATGACGGCCTCGGCGTCCTTCTCTTCGAACAGACGCAGCATCTCGCCTAGCGGGAAGGAGCAGCAGACATCGGCGTTGAGGACGAAGAAGCGGTCGGGGCGGCCCTTGAGGATGGCATCACGGAAGTGGTACAGACCGCCAGCAGTTCCTAGGGCTGTGTATTCGCGCAGGTAACGGATGGAGATGTGGGGGTGTTCGCGGTGGGCGTCCTTGATGAAGTCGCGGAAGACGGTCTCGTCGTAGTAGCCGACGAGGAAGACTTCTGTGATCTCGGGGACTCTGGTGACAGCATCGAAGCAGTGCTGGATGATGGGCTTGCCGGCGACTTCGAAGAGGGNGCTGTTAAGCGCAACCTGGTCAGACCGAAGGTTCGTGGAGAGACGGAGAGAATCGGATCAATTCACCTTGGGAACATCCAGAGAGAGTGGACGGAAGCGAGTACCTCTGCTGGGACCCCCGACNNCTGTGCGAGTATATTAGCAGCTGTGAGACATCTTTCAGAGAGCTGCACTTACCAGGATGACAGCTTTGGTTGAGGGCACAGGGTTGCGGCTCCTGCTGCGCGACGGGAGTTGTAGCGACGACATTACAAAGTAGAGAGTGTGTGTATTAGAGAGAAACAGAGGTAAGAAGAAGAAGCAGCAGAATCGACAAAGCAATCAAGGCGAAATGGGCGAGATGAAATGAAGCACAGCTGTTCCAAAGTCACAGCACCCCGCCCAAAACGATTCCACGCCAGGGGCAACGCCGCAGCAAGGGTCTGCCCCTATTTCTGGCCAAAGAATACGAATCCATCCAAAAGCTGTCTTTTTGATTGATATTCCCACCTCTCATGTAACCGTTTGGACCACTGTTGCCCCCTTTCTGTTTCCTTGGTCTGGCTGTTCATGTCGTCTGGAGCCACGTCAGAAGCCTGCTGTTACCTCCAGCTGACAACCCTAGCTGACGCCTCCTTTCTTCTTCTCTTCTAGAGTACTGTCGGCTAGCTATAGTACTAAGGTTTGTCTAGACATAGATTTTCTCTCTCCTTCTCGCATGATGAGCACAAGACTTTGTAATATCTGATGCGCGATAATCATAGATGGTAACTTTTACCAAAAATGGACCATCCTCACTCCTCGTCGAAGTCTCTACTATGCTTACGGTTCGCACTCGGATGTTGCAAAGGACAGTCGATGAAACAGTCTCGCCCAGTATCAACATGTCTCGACGCTTCGTCGACTAGATCGCTAGTCCCATCATCAATACCACCAACCATTACTTGTTCGTCGAAGGCTCGACTATCCATACACGTTGCACTCGAACATTATAGAAGACAATCGATGGAGCAGTCTCGCCTAGAACAGACATGCCTCGACACTCCTTCGACTGGATCTCTCTGTCAAGACCAAGACTCGACTACCACCGCTGCTCGTCGAAGATTCCACTAACCACATCTATTCCATCTGGATATCACTAACGATAGTCGATAAAGCAGTCTCGCCCCGCATCAACATTCCTCGACGTTCCGTCAACTAGAAGATCGGTCCCATCATAAGCACCACCAAAACTCGACCATACCCCCCATCGCCGAGGATTCTATCAGTGGTATATTTTTCCTGTAGAACTTCGAGTGCACACTTACAGACGAGATCTTGGGGTACCCTCGAGTCGTCTCGGCGCACCTTTACAAGGAGAATGAGTTCTGACCACGGACAAAGTAACAGAAACAACGCAACCAGATCCGTCGAACGACGAGTAAGACGAATACCTATTCACACGTCCGGCATCTTACGTATATCCGGTCTCGAGTTTAGAATCATTCGACTTAGTCCACTCTCGAGGTGCTCAATGTTCTATAGAGTCAGAAACTTTCTCTTCTTTCCAGCCACACACGAACGGACTGCAGACATGATTGTCTCGAGGCGCAGCAGAATGCCATAGGACCCTCGAGCATGTCCATCTCCGACTGCTGGATTGCTTCTAAGGATTTTACGTCGCTCACGTAGCCGAACTCTTCATCGTTTGAACGATTCTTGGGCCACCGAGTGCTTACGTCGATCCGAACAGTGCTCAAATTTCGTCAATTACTTGTGTAATCTGCAGAGAAATTCTTCGTCCGCAAGGGACACCCCCCCCCCCCCCCCCCCCCCCCTCTCCATTAGGTTTCCTGTTCCCACCGGCTACAGCATTCGAGAGCTCTCGAGCAGTTCTCGCGACAACAACTCGATTAACCATATCGGGCTAGCGCGCTCAGACTTGTCACAGGTGTGGTGAAGGACTTGGCATCATTGTTGGCAACGGCAGCCTCATTGAGCACAGCACAAAGGACGACGTCGATGCTCTGCATTCTGCCTCGAGCAGTACCGGAGTATGACATTGTACGCAGATTGCGAAGGGTGTGGGAGGCTGTTGTACTTCACGGCTACCGATGAACATGATGACCAACAAATAGCACGGCACTTCTTCACTTGAGAGGGATAGAACATCAATGGAAAGATCAAACTAGGTCTTAATGTCAAGGAATATCTACACCTCCTCAAATCTCTGTAGAGGCACATAGGCACCTCTATCGGCGTTACGATCTCCTCGTTTTCCTCTGACTACACCAACAAGCCCTTGCATCCAGTCACTCACACCTCGGCTCTGAACCGAAGTGCCGACATCTGCGAACAAGTCTGCTTCACCGACTTCTTTGGCGGCAGCATTTCTAATGTCCCTCGGGGGCTTCCAGCGCTTGAGCAAAAGACTCGACACTACAACCGTAACGCTAGAACATGCCATTGCTGCACCAGCGGCCATGGGCGGTAAAGAGAGCCCCCAGGGCAGGAAGAAACCCATCGCAATGGGCAAGCCAACAAAATTGTACACGCAAGCCCAGATCAGGTTCAGCTTGATACGACGGAAGATGGCGCGGGACAATGCCAGAGAAGTGGGTATGTCGAGAAGATGATCCGGTCGCATGAGAACAACATCTGCAGCTTCAATGGCGACGTCTGTACCCGAAGCGAGCGATATACCGACATCTGCAGTTGCAAGAGCAGGGGAGTCGTTGATACCGTCGCCCACCATGGCTACAATGATGCCTCGGGCCTGAAGCTCTTCCACAATCTCGCGCTTGCCACTAGGAAGCACGCCAGCGTGGACGTTGTGCTTGGGGACGTTGAGGAGATTGGCTACGTAATATGCTGTGCTCGCCTGGTCGCCAGTGACGATCGAGCAAGTGATACCCATACGCTGGAGAGCAGAGATCGCGGCGGGGGCTGAAGGCTTGAGAGTGTCGGAGAGAGACAGAGGGCCTGTGTATATTCCATCAATCGAAGTGTGAATGGTTGTGACACCAGCAGATTGCTGCTTCGAATTCGCATCATTACTGGCTTCGTAGTCATTGGTGTCGTCCGCGTCATCAGAAACCGCCACGCCCTGGGACCGCAAGTATGAGGTGTTACCGATCATGACATTGTAGCGCTTGCGTTCAGGCGAGATGGCTGCTTCCACAGACGCTGAGATGCCCTTGCCAACAGTAGAGACAAAGTCGCCTACACTGCCATCGAGTGTGCCGTCTGATCCAAGTCCGAGATGTGATTTAGCTGCGCTCGTAATTGCACGTGCAATAGGATGCTCGCTGCCCATCTCGGCGAGTCCGATGATCGTCCACCAGAGACGGAGTTTGGCAGCGTCGACGGTCCAGCCGCCTTGCACGTCTGATCGGGACACGCTCATCTTACCCATGGTCAGGGTGCCGGTCTTATCAAGAACGATGTGGGTCACCTTGGTGGCCGTTTCCAAAGTTGCTCCACCCTTGATGAGGATGCCTTGCTCAGCTCCAACTCCAGTACCAACCATAACAGCTGTAGGGGTTGCAAGACCAAGCGCACACGGACAAGCAAACACAATGACCGCAATACAGAGCTTGACGCAGACCATCAGGGGCCCACCACTGGTATCCTTAGTGAAGATAGTGGGTGGTGTTTGCAGGACATGGCTCAAGATCATCCAGGCCGTGAAGGTAGCCAGTCCAAGAGTAATGATTATAGGGACAAAGTAGCCGGCGACCACATCGGCCATACGTTGGATGGGAGCACGGCTGGTCTGGGCTTCTTGAACAAGTCTGACGATCTGGCTGAGTTGTGTATCGCGACCAGCTCTCGTGACCTGGAAGTCGAGTCTGCCTGCACCATTGACAGTACCTGCCATGAGATTCTTTCCTTTCGTCTTGAGAATGGGCATTGCCTCCCCAGTGACCATACTCTCGTCGACATAGCTATCGCCACGAATGACGGTACCATCGGCTGGGACTTTGTCGCCGGGCTTGAGAATGACCACATCACCGACTTCGAGCAGTTCTGTAGGTACGGTCTTCTCCTCGAGCGCACCACTTGGCGAGTTCTTTTCAGACTTCTCATTGTCACCATCCCACTCATCAGCGGCCTTTTGTGCTGCAATCGGGTCCGTGTAAATGAGAGCAGTTGATGGTGCCAGACTCATCAAGCGAGACAAGGCCGCCGAAGTCTGTCCTTTGGCTCTATTCTCGAGGAATCGGCCAAGCATAATGAAGGTGATAAGCATTGTACTCGTATCAAATGTTGTGGCAGGTCTTGAATGGGGCGACGTAAAGATTGAAACTAGCATGGCGGCGCAGCTGAAGAAGAACGCTGCCGACGTTCCTAACACGACAAGAACATCCATGGTCGGCGAGCCGTGCTTGAGAGACTTGTAGGCAGATCTGTAGAATCGCTTACCTATACCAAATTGGACCGGTATGGTAAGGATCAGACAGACAACGTCTCCAAGCCACAACCCAGGTATCAAGGGAAGTTTGATGCTTCCATAATCCAGGGGCTTGATGAACATGGGGAAAATCATAGTGGTAAGGAAGACTGGAATAGCGAAAAGAAGGGATATCTTGAATGACCGTGACCACTCTTGAATCTCTTTTGTTTTTGCAAGCGACTCCAGCTGGGCATTGTTGTCGTCGTTCTCGGCAGTCAAGGCATTGAGACCTTCATGCTCGATCGACTCGACAATCGCACGAAGTCCAGTCTGTGTTGGATCATATGCGACCGACGCCCTGCCAGTTTTGAAATCAATCTTGACAGCTGTGCTTCCCTTTCGTTTCTTGAGTGTGGCTTCGAGAGCGGAAGCTGCTTCGGCAGTCTGGAGGCCAAACAGCTTCAATTCTACAGTGCTACTTGCTCTCCTTGAACGAGAAGCTCCTTCTTCCCGTGAAGTCAGAACCTTGGCATCAAAGCCACAGTCTTCGATGGTCTCGACGATTTTCTCTGGAGAAAGTTTCGTAGGATCGTGCAATATGACAGCCCTCTCGGCAAGCAGACTAATGTCAAACTTCAAGAGGCCAGGAACGTCGTTAAAACCGCTTGTCACTGCGGAAGTACATGCGCCACATGTCATGCCTTCGATTGCAACGATAGTCGTGAATAGCACGTCGTTCTTCCTACTCTGCCTTCTGGCTGAAGGTAGCATCTTGGTCCGTACGGGCTCTGATGGCTTTGAATCGACGATGGAAGCATCAAACCCAGTGTCTTCGATGGTCTCAGCGATGGTGTCGGCGCTGATCAATTTGGAATCGTGCTCAATGACGGCTCTCTCGGACAGCAAGGAGATATTGAAGCTCTTGATTCCAGCAAGGCTTTTGAAAGCGCCCTCTACCGCAGAGGTACATGCGCCGCATGTCATACCACCTACGCTTACGGTTGTAGTCATCAGGCCGGACGAGGAAGATGTAATGCCGAGGCCCATGGTGTCTTGATCTGACTCTTCCTCGACAATGTCGTCTAGTGTTGGTGCGGGCAAGTCGGTGCTGAGAAGGGTAGCATCGAAGCCTCGGTCTTCGATGATTTCGCATACTTGGTCGGCCGAGATTATGGAAGCATCGTGCATGACAATGGCACGCTCCATGACCAGGCTGACAGACACGCTGCCAACACCACCCACGTGGGTGAAGCCGGATTCTACAGCTGAAGTGCAGGCGCCGCATGTCATGCCTTCCACTTTGAGGGTTGTTGTGGCCAGGTGTTGTGGTTGCGACGAAGGCTGGGGAGGGGTACGGGGACCCATGTTGTTGTTCCAGTTGGCGAACTGTGTTTGAGGAGAGGCTCGGGGTGATATGCCGTCGGATGCCGTAGACGGCGAGCCATGTAGAGCCGTCTTGGGCGGCGAGCCCGTGGGAGAGATGATCGAGGTGCTGTCCCGGCGCGAGTCTCTTTGTGAGACTTGGAGATATCGTGGAGCCATGATTGGTGTTTGCGACAAAGAAGGCGCGACAAACAAAGGGCGGCGACACGGCTGTCTAAGAATATCTAGGCTTGACCAGCAAAAGACCTAGCTCTTGTGCATATGCCCGGTCAGACTCAGCTGACTGTGAGGGGCTTCCGAGAGGTGCGCCGACAAGGTCCTGCCGTGTGGCGCCTAATAGGTACTTGTCGTAAGCGTCGGTTCGTGGTATCCGGATGCGCGACTGGAGTCTGGGAAGAAGATGCAGAAAGAATGGCAGCCAGACAGCAAGGGATGAGAAAAAAAAACAGTGGCTATAGAACAGGAGCCATCACAGCATGGTGGTTGTCGCAATCAACACACAACCTTGAAATTGCATGGCTGATGGCCGTTTCGTCAAAGTGCAAACGACTCCCTGCATCTGGAGCGCGTAGAGGGGCGAAACACCACGTTCCGGCAGACGACCTACCTCCCTTCGGCTCCGGACCTCCGATATATCGCTTTAATCTATCCTCGACGCGACTCTAGCACGCTATTCTTAGCCGACGACTTTCCTTCAAAGGCTCAACATCCCCTCTTTTCTGACAAGAATCACTTTTGCGGTAGTCTTGCTCCACCATGCTTCATACACTAATAAGGGTCTATCTCCTTACAGAAAGGAGACTCTCTTAGTGCCCAACCTGGGGAGCCGCAACGGCCTCCACCCCATTATTGACTTTTGCTTTGTCGACTCCCTTCTGTGCCGCTGCTTTTACTCTTAACGGAAGAGTGCTTTCATCCTCTCCATTTGCGGTCCACGTTCAAGTAGCCAACATTGCCAGCTTGATCCTGCGGCCCACCCGGGCCACCCCTCACTCGCAAATGTCCAGGCCGGATCTCGATGCCATCAAGTCTGGCCGTGGCTCATGCAGCTTGATGCCAGCCGCAAACTCACGGCCAAAGACTCCGACGCTTTCCAGCTTCCTGGCTTTCCTTGCGCTTTCTTGGAAAACTCAATCCGTCCATGTACCTACTCACCCTCACTCCTCGGCCTGAATCTTGATTCTGCACTTCTGCTTCGCGTCAAAAGCCTCAGATCGTGGCTAGTGCATTTCAGCCACGGTCCATTTTCTCGTCTGCATTCCGTCACTCCGCCCGCTAAGGAACCTTCTTATGACGATCTCAACGTGCTACCAGCCTCAAAACGTGCCCTTTCCCACGCATCCACCTAGAAAAATGTGACTTTGGGCAAGTCCAAGAGAGTTGTGATGACAGAAGCGGCAGCTCTGGACACCTCCTTGCCTAATCTCGACCCATCTCGATGTCTACTTTATGTGAACGACGTCAGATCCCGTTGCTTAATCTCAAAACCTAGCGGCTTCACTTGCTTCTGGTTATGCCCCAGCAGTTCATTCTTGATGCTGTGTGCGTGGAGGGCTGAAGTCTATGGCTACAAGACGATGACGATGATGAAGCTTCTTCAGATATCTACTCCATGTCTTCCCAGGCATCTCTCCTCGATTTCTGTTGTTTCTGTTATCCACTCTCCTATTGTACCTTGTCCATCCTAGTTCAAGATGAACATCAATCAACCTCTTAGTGGGCGAGGCCTAGCCATCCCTTTCACCAAGGCCGCCAACCCTAATGCTGATCTCGATGATGGTGACCTTCGTCTGCCCTTCATCAATCGCATTCCGGATAACATCAGGTACACGCTCGAGACATGTTTACGTTTTTGTATAAATCACTGATACCAATGCNNAAGGAACCATTTCATCGCCATGTGTGGTGAATTTGTCGGAACCGTGCTCTTCCTCTACTTTGCTCTGTCTGGTGCCCAGGTCGCAAACAGTGTCAACACATCGAGTGGCCAGTCCATCACTGAGACCGGTAGCAACCCCCAACAGCTACAATACATCGCCCTGAGTTTTGGTTTCTCTCTGGCTGTCAATGCTTGGGTTTTCTTCCGTATCAGTGGTGGACTTTTCAACCCTGCTGTTACTTTCGGCATGTGTCTGATCGGTGCACTTCCCTGGGTTCGTGGTGGCCTCTTGTTCATCACTCAAATTCTCGGTGGAATGGCGGCCGCTGCTCTGGTATCATGCATGTTCCCTGGCGAGCTCAATGTCCGTACTACTCTGGGTGGAGGTACTACTATCGTGCAAGGTCTTTTCATCGAAATGTTCTTGACCGCACAGCTGGTCTTTACCATCTTCATGTTGGCCGCCGAGAAGCACAAGGGTACCTTTATTGCTCCCGTTGGTATCGGTCTTTCGCTCTTCATCGCCGAACTCACCGGAGTTTTCTTCACTGGCGGTAGTCTCAACCCTGCCAGATCTTTCGGACCCGCTGTTGTCAACCTCGAATTCTCGGGCTATCATTGGATATACTGGGTCGGTCCTGTACTCGGTTCTATCGTCGCAGCCGGATTTTACAAGTTTATCAAGATCCTGGAGTACGAGACCGCAAACCCCGGACAAGACATGGATCACGCAGCCAAGGTTGAGAAGAGAAAGAACCTGCTGATCGCCGCTGGTATTAACGAAGTCGATGCCCACCACGTCGCCAACGAGCTCCAGACCAACCAAGTGGTTACCGAAAAAGGCGGACCAGATGGTGCAGTTGTGGCCAACGGTCAAGGTCGTCGCGGCTCCGGAGAAGACACCGCCATGTACGGTACCGGATTCCGCTCCAACTCACATCAGCACACTGGCTCTACCAGCTCAGGAGAGACGGCTGTTGTTCGTAGACCTCAGGCCGTCACCACTGGAAGCCAGCTCGGCCGTTTCAGTTACCTTGGTCGTGCCGGTTTGCAGCAACCAAGAATGAACAGTATCGTCAATGAGTCGAGAGTGGATAGCCCTGCCATGACTACGAACGAAGAGCTGTATGCTCCTCTAGCCGCAGGTGGCGATGAACCGCTTGGCGGGTTGGTTGCAGACCATGACCCAAGATACCGCTACTCTAGAACCATCAGCAGTGGTGTCTAGGCGGACTGACTTTCATTCACGAATTGTACGAGATATGTCATTTTAAACATGGAATTTTGGTGATATAGTTATCAATATCGAAGCACAGTTTTAGCAGCCCAGCTTTTGTTCGCGAGGAGCATCTGTGCGGAGTGTATAGAGAAGATGTCACCCAGATAGTGTTGTTCATCTCTACTGTATGCCACGACAATCCTGCATGCAAGAGATAGCCATGATCCAGCTATGAGAATGCACAACATCTTTTATATGGAAGCGAGGTCCAGAGAGAGACAGTTTTTGGGCATCTCTGTGGCCATGCTGCTAAACCCATTGGAACCGTGTATTTTGATAACCTATTATCATACTAGTTATTCCCCAGAAAATTCAAGGTAGCGCTATATAGCATCAACCACCTGCGTTTAGGGGTCAGTCTTCTCAGAAGATAGTCTTCCCTGAACCTTTCCATGTTCCCTTTGGAGAGCAAACATAGACAGGCAGCAACTGCTTTGTACCTAGGTAGCAAATTTATTGAATTCCCTCTATTACAGATGTCCGTCAAATTCGTCTTCCGAGTCCCCGTATAACATGAAGTCATCCTCATCGATCGACCCGTCCCAATCGTCCAGATAGCTTGCTGCCGCCACCGCATGGTCACCAGAGCAATGCTCGTTTTGATCCAGTCCATTGTTGTAAGGCTTTTCACATCCCTTCCAACTGTGTGGATGTCCTCTGCATACGCTGAAAGGATGTTGTAATTTCGAGTAAGTGCCTGGAGGAAATCGGCCTCTCCAAGACACAGACATGTCTTCCTCGCAGTGCATGCCATGATCGTGCTTGCAGACTTCCCACCAGTTGCGAGAACGGTAAAGACCTGTAGAATTGAGGAAGGCGAACGTCTGTCCCTCGTCGTACCGCCAAGTGGTGTCTGAATAATGGTTGTGGCTCTGGCGGGCGGCAAGTCTGTTGTCTGTCAGATGCTCAGAGCTGGCGGCATCGCTCGTGGGTGGGGTTCCACAGAAGCAAGGATAGTTGCGTCCATTCTTCATGTTGATAGAAGAGATACCGAACCCATCAGGTTGATAGCAGACAGGTATGGCGAAGATACCCGCAAATTTACCCCCATGATGGTAACTCTTGGAGGCAGGATCCAGGAACTGCTCGAATGCTTCCACCCCTTGGAGATGAACATCTTCGTTCCCATGGTCTTCGAAGATGGCTACCGAGGATTGTACAACGTCTTTCATGGAGATGCCAACGTCTTTCGGAATCTTGTAATGTCCTGGGAACAGACGGACCATCGACCGTCGCTTCTTGTGGTAATCACCGAGGTTAGAGGTGAATTGCGGATAAAAGACGTAATTGGGCCATTCGTTTAAGCAAACCTTCCCATGAGCTCGATTGTCGTTCTCGCAGCCCCCAGAGGCGGGTGCCATGATGATGTGAACATTTTCCTGATCCCAGATGTTGCTCAACGCCGAAGCATACTTCAAGTCGTATATGTCGTTTTGGAGTTTTTGTGAGATCTCTAGAGGTTCCCGGTATGCGCCTGTCTGGATGACATCGACGAGAGTCATGCCCAACAGCCCCTTGTTGCCACCCATGATCAGCTTCGTGTCCAATGCATACATTTCACGGGCCATTTTGTGGTTCGTAGCCTGCAGCTTGGACAAAAGCTGATTCAGCTTCCTAGGCAGACCACTAGCGTCTGGGAGGTTGTCGTTGTACATGGACACTCCCAAATTGTACCCACTGAGAAGCAGTGCAAGAACGTTGCCCACCTGGCCAACTGGAGTGCCTGCGAAGGCTGTCCCCAATATGGAGAGTTCGCTTCTGATGATCAGCAGAATTCCACCAGCCAGCTGAGTCCGCCGCTTGTGACGTGCATTCACAGTTTTGGTGATCGCAACCAGATTGTCGACGTCCGAATAGTCGCTAATAAGGCCGTCCATACCCGCGGTCAGTTCCGAGAAGAGTTCGTTCTCGAGAGTCTTGATCTTCAACCTCGCGTTGTTAAAGTTGACCATTGACTCGAGGGTTGACCAGGCAAAGTATTGCTCCTTGACCTCGAACTTTTCGTTGAGAGCCTCGCAATTTGTAGGCGAGCATTCTTGACGACCATCGCAGTCGCGGATTGAGTGCGAAAGGTGAGGCACGAACTTGCGGGCAAAGAAGTCGTAAAATCCTTTGGTGTTGGTTCCGGTGCCGTTGCTTTCTTTCCATTCGTCGAATTGGCCTTCGATCCACTGGCCGTACTCAGTACCCTGGGCGAAGTCACTCTGGCTCATGGCATGATCATCGTCGAGATAATCGCACAACGGATGTGCGTTGGTAGCGACAAGGAGCACCGCGATTGCAAGAAGGAACTTGAGAACAAGTTTCATGGTGATGAGCAGTTAGCCGGAAATTGCACCGTTGGTTGTAGATACAGGAGGACTCGAAATTGGAGAGCGAATTTGTAGGGGTAGCTTGCGAAATAAGGCGAAAGGTGCGTGATGACTCTTCCACTTCAAGCATACTCTTTCCTATCTATTCGACTCAAACTAACTCTGTTGTGAATTTGACGAGGATTGTGCGTCATGTATACCATTGCAGCACTGTGTTATTCGGGGGGTTGACCGTGGCTACGAACCACAGCCGAATGGTCACAGCCTGGAAAATCTATTCGGGAAAGTTAGAGTGTGATAACTCATTGCTCTGCTGGGGTCATCTGAACCCAAGACCAGACTTGCCCTGCATCAGTGGTACACTATGACCCATCAGCCAGGACTAGACCCACGTGTAGCAGCACAAACGTGGAGAGAATGAATTAGATGGCGCAATTGCACAGAGATTGAGAGAGTTTTAGCCGAACACACGATCACTCATCTTCCTAGGCGTCGGGTGATGTACGCATTGTGAATGTACACGTCTGCGCACAATGGTCAGAGATAGCACCGAAGTGAGAAGACTGCGTGGCTGAGGTTTCGACATAAAGGAAGACTCTGAGGTTGTTGTGACTTGCTATATTGACGCGACTCTAGTGATCGAGTGTTGTAACCGGTATGTAGCCTCTCAAAGTTTAGAGGTTGCTGATCTTTACCACAAGTCTCCATAGCAAAACTCAGATAACGGTATCGAGTAGACTTCAAGTTGCATGAGCCTTTCCAATCGATACACGCAACGTCTGGCCTTTGGCTGTACGTCCAGTGACTCCAGTCAGTACCACGGACGTGCTGAACTACTACGTTGTGTGGCTTAGTCCAGACTCGTGCTTTATGAGGATACGATAGTCTCCCGAGTGTTCTGAATGTCCTTGGGGCCGGTACGACAACAACCTCCGATCAGTCTAGCGCCTTTGCCGAACCACTCTCGAACCAGCTCAGCATGTTCCTTGCCCTCCACACGAGGGCCGTTCCACTTTCGGGCTTCTGCATTCCAGGTCTCACCAGAGTTTGGGTACACGATGAGAGGCTTGTCGGTCAGGGGTTTGAGATAATCCAATGCCGCAGACACATTCTGTTCGGGGATACAGTTGACGCCTACAGATACGATTTGGCTGCAGGAATTGACCAATTGAACGACCTCGGACATTGGTGAGCCGTCACTCAGCAGAGAAGCGTCGGATTCTCTTAGTGTAACACCCAACCAGGCTGGTGTGTTTGGAAAGTCGGTCTCAAGCAGTTCAATCAAGGCCTTGATTTCCGGCAAAGAAGGAATGGTTTCATAAGCCAAGATATCGACATTGGCTGCCACTAAAGCCTCGATGCGAGGCCTGTGAAAATCCTTGAAGTCGTCGTTTGACAGGTGATAGTCGCCCCTGTACTCACTTCCGTTGGCGAGGAAAGCACCGTAAGGACCAACACTTCCGGCGACCAAAAGTTTTCTTGGTTGGATTGAGGAACGGTTCTGCTCCTCCTGGAGGACAGTGTCACGAGCTTGCTGAGCGAGCTCGACGCTACGACGAATGAGCTTCTGTGACTGTTCAAGGCTCATGCCTAGGTGTTGAGACAGGCCGAGTGGGGTAGCTTGATAGCTGGCGGTGATGGCGATATCAGCGCCAGCTTTGAAGTAATCAAGATGGACTCCATAGATGGCTTCTGGTGTTTCTTCCAGGGCCTTGGCCGACCATAATTTCGAGCTGAGATCGAGTCCACGGGTTTCAAGTTCGGTTGCAAGGGCGCCATCCAAGATCAAGGCAGGCGTGTCCTTGAGCAAGGGTGCCACGGGATCGACCAAACCAGACATGTCGAATGCAATTGGCCCGTCGTCGGGAGCGGGTTGCCGTGTGATCGGTGTAGAGTGATGTCGGTCAAGTCGGAGTGCTCTGGAAGCATTTTGTAAAGATTCGCATGTTTGGCTCAAAATGGTATTTTTAAGCGAGTTTCTCCCACGAGAAAACAGCCGACCAACGACTACGTGCTTCGATATGAGCTCGACAACGAACATCCATCAAGACGATGCAAGGATTGTGGCCTCATAGTGTGTTATCTAGCTCGGATGACCGAGCCAGTAGGCTCTGCAATGCTAGACATATGTATTGTACAAGCACTTGACACAAAGAGATGGTTGCTCGACAAGCTCGGTACGACTTGACGGAGATGCCGAGGCCTATCGATAGTTCGCGCAGAGAAAGACCCTGAGGTTCGCCTTCTCTTTGTTTCGAAGTTTGACCTGACCATGACACACAGCATTGGGGATTACAAAGCGACCAAATCAAATGCGAGATCAAGCGAGCTCCCATGTTTTTGGTGAGCCCGAGGCTCCAATTCGGAGAGTACCTATGAAACGTCTGTAGGCCCTGCTTTATAAGCTCATCTAGGTGGCCTTGTCGGCCATTTCGTCATCTCGATTGACCTTTCCTTTTATTTAGAAGTAGTCCCCTCGTCTTCTGTAATCCTTCCTTCCACTGCATCCCTGTCCTCCCACCTTCCACACACATACACAATGGTTCAGAACAAGGCTTTGATCTTCAAGAAGGTCCCCCAGGGCCTCCCCGTCCCCGGCGAACATCTCACAATCGAGTCGACCGACTTCGATGTCGACCAGGCNGCCCCTCCTCAGGGTGGTTTCACCGTCAAGAACCACTACATCAGCTTCGACCCCTACCAGCGTGGCCGTATGCGTGATGCCAGCACCAAGTCCTACTCCCCTCCTTTCGCCCTCAACAAGCCCATCACCAACTCTGGCATCTCGACCGTCCTCAAGTCTGACAACGACAAGTTCAAGGCCGGCGATGTCGTTGTTATGATGCAGGACACTGCTGAGTACAGCGTCGTCTCCAAGGACCAGGCTGCTTCCGCTCGCAAGCTCGAGAACCCCTACAACCTCGATCCCAAGCTCTTCGTTGGCGCCCTCGGCATGCCCGGTCTTACCGCCTACTCGAGCTTCTACGCCATCGGCGAGCCCAAGAAGGGTGAGACCATCTTCATCAGTGCCGCCTCTGGTGCCGTCGGACAGCTCGTTGGCCAGCTCGCCAAGCACGAGGGCCTGAAGGTCATCGGCTCCGTCGGTGATGACAAGAAGAAGGACTACATCACAAACGACCTCGGCTTCGACGGTGCCTTCAACTACAAGAACGAGAAGCCTGCCGATGCCCTCGCCAGACTTGCCCCCAACGGTGTCGACATCTACTACGAGAACGTCGGTGGTGAGCATCTCGAGGCCGCCATCAACGCCATGAACAACTTTGGTCGCATCATCTGCTGCGGCATGATCTCGCAATACAACACTGCTCCCGGTGAGCAGTACCCTATCCGCAACCTCATGTCCATCGTCGCAAAGCGTCTGAAGGTCCAGGGCTTCATTGTTGGCGATGAGGGCATGGGTCCCAAGTACTTCGTCGACCACCAGAAGAACGTCCAGAAGTGGATCCACGAGGGTGCCTACAAGCCCCAGTTCAGTGTCACTGACGGCATTGACAATGCCGCCGAAGGTCTTCTTGGCCTGTTCTCAGGCAAGAACTTCGGCAAGGCTGTTCTGGAGATCTCCAAGCTCGAATAGATGTGCTACACAAAAGTCATGAGACACGACCCATAATCAAAACATACATTTTACATTCAGCTTGTCATTTGATGAATTCTTCTCTTCATTTTTATTTGATGTTTGTGATAAGGATACTCCCATTGTGCTGCGTGTAGTCATGTTGATTGCCCCTGTTCCTTGCTACCTCCCTCCCAAACCTCGAAGGAAAGCATTGATATTTGCTGCGTGAAAAAATAATCCATGACCTAGTCGATGCTCAGGCGCTTCATGCCGTCACCAAGAGGATTGTTGTCCTTGGATCCTTCGGCAACTTTGTGGACGACTGCGCTGGCTCCTTCCTTGTACCAGAGGTATCTCTTGCAGTCTTGGGCTGCAGGACGTCTTGAAGGATCTTGAGTCAGCATGGCTTTGATCAGGGGAAGAGCCTGTGTGGGAATGCTGCAGCGAGTGGGCGCGACCAAGAAGTTGTTGACAGTGGTATTGTAGATTTTCAACAGAAGAACTCCAAGAGACCAGATGTCTGCTCTACTTTCGAAGCCTCGAGTGTGAACGTCTCCGAGTTCCTTTGCAGTCTCGGGAGCTCTGTAAGGCGCCCAGGCGCGACCAGACATGGGATCGTGGGGAAGGTCTGGGTCTGTGTCATCGTCGACGGTTTTGGAGATACCGAAGTCGGCGAGCTTGAGAAGATAGTGTGGCTTACGCTCGGTGCCAGCAAGAAAGACCAGGATGTTGTCAGGCTTGATGTCTCTATGGACGATTGCTGGCTTCAAGGTGTGGATGTGATGAAGGGCTTCGGTCATTTCATAAGTCACGAGCTGCGACAAAGCTGCATGTTGGTTCTTGGGAAGTCGACGGTGAAGATCGTGAAGGTTGCCCTCGGTAGCGAACTGCAGGATAAGGCCGCCTTCTTTCAGATCTTCGAAGACGAGAAGGTCCAGGAGCTCCATGATATTGGGATGATTCTTGGTTTGCGTGAGTCGCGTGGCCTCGGCACGAAAGATGACTTCGTTGGGTTGGTTGCGATGGTAGCCAACCGTGGACACAACCTTCATGGCAAAGACTTGCTGGTCCTTGAGCCTCTGAACCTCGAACACATTGCCGAAGCCACCGTGTCCGACGCGCTTCTTGATCTTGTACTTGAGCTTGGGGTCACTGAATGACACAACGGTGGATCCAATTGAGAGCTTGCTTCTGAACTCCATGACAGGCTTCTGAATGCGGCTGCAACTGAGCAGGAAAGATGTTGTGCTGGAAGCATATTTCCAACTCTTATAATGCGAAAAAATCCAGCATAGACTGGCCCATTATACGCACGTCTGAGACGTCCAAACAGTATAAGAAACGAAACATGATGGAAGCAGCTCTTCCCAAGACAAGACATGCATGTCTGATGTCGAATTTGCAAATTACACAAAAACATGAGATCGAAAGAGCTTGCTCTACCTTTTCATACTAGCGATGTGCTCTCAGAATCAGTAGCCAGATCTGACAAGAGCAGATGAGACGTGCAACACACCAAGGCAAGTATGGACAAACCTTGTGCAAGACACAGAATTTGTTAAGACATCGTAAGCACAATGTTTCAAAGACGCATATGTGTTGAGTGCGAGTGGGAGCTGTAGCGTCGCAGTACGTCGTATTGCGGCATCTTTCCTTTTGGTGTGGACCTTTTCCCAAGATCCGCGTGGAAGACGTGTTCTTACCGAAGTCTTCTTTGTCGTCCATCTCGTAGAGCATGACAGTATCAACTCAACACTTTAATACTGTTGCCAGAGCACAAATGTACATGACTCCGGTATGATGATCCACTCTATGTACCAAGACTAGAATATTCGAAGCAATGGTCCAGATCTGGCAAGATTCTGAGCAGAGTGTCGCAGAAACATAGTTGGCTAGATTTATGCTTGAGCAAGTCGAGCGTAGTTGTACTTTGTGGTCTTCGCGTATACGATGAGAACACGTCAAGTCACACAAGACCCTCATCGTGTCTAGACGCATTCCAGTAATATTCGTCTATTGTGTCGATGTTCATGCGATAGAGAAGTTGGCGAGAGATGCACGTGTAGGAACAGCGTACCTCGGTCAATAGACGTTGAGTGAAACAGGACACACTTGGCGCCTGTGCCGCCTGTCACAATTGCCCCCCGCCGCAACGGCCGGACAGCCCATCACTTCCCCAACATTCGATTACTGATCTTCCTCCTACTCTTTCCACCATCCAAAGCCTAATCGATATATTGCAGCAGGTCTTGCCATCGTATCAGTGAAGTATACAGCTATAAGGGCGAACGTGGTGCTTGACATACACAGCACAGGCGTCTCAGCTTACGGGATTCGACGCTACTTTGAGGCTTCGGCAAAGACCCGAAACTGAGCGAAAAGAATCGACTCGCTCGAGTCGACTTGTTGGGGTATTGCACAAGCATGTCAGCAAATCGAATCGACTCAGCTGGGCCTGAGAAGAAGAACAGACTGAGACGATCGAGGGATGAGTCCGACTCCAACAACGATGAAAGCAAGAAACGAGGAAGACCACGATTGGACCCACAGGACGAGTCGACTGCTGATGTGAGTACTATGTTGTGTGCGAAAGGAGAGAACAGGGCAAAAACCATATATATGTGGTTCAATCATCATAGTATTGTTGATACTGCTGCCTCATTTCATCATGCCAACAACCTTCCTGAGTTTTTTGACCTTTTTACANNGAAACGAAGGTCACAGATTCGCCTGGCCCAAAGAGCCTATCGACAAAGAAAGGAGGACACTATCAGTGATCTCCGCAAACAAGTCCAAGAACTCCAGTCGACCATTCAGTCGATGAACCAGACCTTCAGCAAATTCTCCGAGCAATGTTCTACCACTAATGTTCCGCCCACTATGCTGGCCAATCTGCAGAGTATTGACCAGATGTACTCCGCTGGCCAGGGTCGAGTAGACTCGCTAAATCTGAGCAAGTCCCTAGAGTCGGGCTCCTCCTTAGCCATATCATCTGCAGACCCAAGCATTAAAGAGAAGGATACATCTCTTATCGCGGAAGCAAGCAACATTTCGCCTCGGACGGAGGCCAAACAACCTACATGGAGCCCGCTCACTGCCCCTGTCAGCTCAACAAGCCTTTCAGACGGTATCGAGAACAATCCTGTCTCAGTGTCTATGCTACAATCTCTTGGCATTCCAGCCACCTACAGCTCATTCGAGAGGACATTTGCTAGGAGGCTCCACCGGGCGAGCTGCGAGTATGCCTATCGACTTGCTTGCGACCCCACTCGAGTCCCTGCGCTTTTCAACAACGTGTTCAAATTGACACTCAAGGCTGCGGGTACTGTTGACCGAGTCAAGTATAGTCTGCAGTCAACCTTGAGTCGAAGCACCGGAGAGCCGCTTTCTAATTGGGGTGTAACTTACATTCACGTCGGTGGTGCTGGTACCCACTACCCTAGACCACCCGAAGAAGGTGGTCTTAGCTATCAATCGCCAACCTCGTGGGCCGTGACTACTGTTGGTCCCCATAGAATCGGTGGGTCCACCATCGAAGAGGCTCTGACTGCAGAGATGCTGCTACGTGGAGTCATGGGCATGGTAAGACTCCTTCTGCGTGTAGGAAGGAGCGTACAAAGCTAACGATGTGTCAGNGATGGTGAGTGGTTCGATGCATATGATGTCGAGGGTTACCTCGCGGAGAAAGGCATTCATCTGGATCCTAGTGCGACTTACGCCAATATTGAGTTACCAGAGGAAGAGTCCTTTAGCCCTGAGTCCTCCGTGGCGTCACCACCCATGGATCCAATGACCGCGTACGTCCATAAACTGGCCGCTGCAGAACCTGTCACTCGTCCTAGTCACTTTGCGTATTACCCTGGGCTCCCGAGTATAGGATACATGCCTTCAGCTTTGGACAGTCTTTCCACCAGAAGATCTCACCCCGAGACACAAACGCACTTTGAGCCGCAGATTGACGAGCGAAGATCGACCGCTCCTCTTCTTGGCCAACAACATGTTACCGTGCCAGTGAGCGGTAACATGTATACATACACCTTCCAGCCAGTGGTGAAGTCCCGCTACACTATTGACATTGGAAAGTTTGTTGAACGTAAGTGTCTCTGTACTTCTTGTCGAGACGATCCATGCTAACCGGAAATACANGAAATGAGCTTGGCAGGTACCTGCTTGATGCGAGCACCAGGATATCGCCGTGAGGATATTGATGTTGCTCTGCGGCGAGCAGTAGTATCAGCGCACTAGAATGTCAACATGGCCGCCAGCAATGTAACCGATGTCTGAGGGACATGTACAATTTGCAGATATGTGAAGAAGCTCAGCATAAATGGTAGTATGCTAGCATGTATAACATGATCCAAAACAGTATAAGTCGCTGCGCCCTTCTATACAGTCATTGCCTGGGCGACAGAAAGTGGCTGACACGAAGACGGGACTATCGCCAAACTTACTCGCAGCCCCACTGCTCAAAAAGAATTTTTTTGTCAAATCGTGCTATTCGAGATAGCGTGCTAGTTAAGTGAGAGCAGAATATCAAAGGGCCGAGAGTGATGGCATTTGCTAATGATGGTGGTGGCCGAGGGCGGACCACTGTTTACATGGTCAGTGCTATTGTTTACAGCAAACCTTCCATGAGGGGTCAACCCAGCGACGACCTCAGTAGGGAAGAATCCTTTGGCAATGTCAGTGTATAGAGACCCTAGATGGTGATGAAAGGACGTTTCAAGGACGGTAGGCTATAGGATAGTGCATTTGTATACATCTTCATCCAAACAAAATCGAACATCTTGATGGAAAAAGGTGAAGGTGTCACTATGCTTTCCTTCATTTTTGTCTTGGCTTTTTCGGTGACGACAGCGTTCCTTCCTATTCTACGGAAGGTGCGAAGATCGGATGGATGAGCAGCAAACAGAGGGGTGAAAGAACGCGTGATTCGAAGGATGGCAGGAGGGCAATGACTAGACTTTGTAGATATCGTGTTGGTAGACAAAACAAGGAACACAAAGAGCGAGTGGAATGCACTGGTTCCTGAGTTGGGTTGACGAAGATACTCTGAAGCGGGCTGGCTGTACGTCGTGTCCCAGGGTCCCACTTGCACCTGCCGGCGATTTTCATTCCGACCGCGAACCACGAAAAGCACTTGTCTCCTTAAACATCGCTTCCTCCGCCACGACCTTCAAACTACACACTCCTTCTCATCCTGCCCTCGACGCTCTTGTAGTCAGGCCAGGTCAGCCTGTTTAATTCTTTTCCTTCCACGCCTCTTACTTGTCACGAATTGCGCAAATCATGGATGCCTCAGCGTTGCTTTCGGCGACTCTGTCGCCTGGTACGTCCATTCCTCGACTGCGCTGGTCGTCCTGCCCAACTGCCCGACAAGATGCTGACCGCCAACANGACACCCAAGTCAGAACTGCTGCCGAAGCGCAGCTCAACCAGGCCGCAGAGGCCAACTTCGTACGTACCTGACAGTCTCTTCACAGCGCCCGGGCACGTGCTGACGGCTATATGACTAGNTCTGGATACCTCACCCATCTGTCACAAGAACTCGCCAACGAGCAAGCACAACCCCAAGTGCGCATGGCCGCCGGTCTTGCACTGAAAAACTCCTTCTCCGCCCGTGAATACACCCGCCTGCGCGAAGTCCAGGACCGATGGATCCACCAAGTCGAGCCGGACGTCAAGCAGTCAATCAAGGCCCTTGCCCTCCAAACACTAAAGTCGAACGACTCCAGATCAGGACAGTCAGCCGCTCAATTTATCGCCTCAATCGCCGCTATCGAGATTCCCCGCGAGCAATGGCCCGAGCTCATGCCCACGCTGGTGCAAAACGTTGGCGAGGGTGCCGACCACCAGAAGCAGGCATCGCTCACCACCATTGGTTTCATCTGCGAAGCTGAGGACCAGGACCTTAGAGATAGTCTCTCTCAGCACTCCAACGCCATCCTCACCGCCGTCGTCCAGGGCGCAAGAAAGGAGGAGCCCAACGCCGATGTCAGAAATGCCGCCATCACGGCTCTGGGAGACTCGCTCGAATTTGTCCGCACCAACTTCGAGAACGAGGGTGAGCGTAACTACATCATGCAGGTCATCTGCGAGGCCACCCAGGCCGACGACAACCGCATTCAGCAAGGCGCATACGGCTGCTTGAACAGAATCATGGGCCTTTACTACGACAAGATGCGTTTCTACATGGAGAAAGCCCTCTTCGGTCTGACCATCCAGGGCATGAAGAACGACGAGGAGGATGTTGCCAAGCTCGCCGTCGAGTTCTGGTGCACCGTTTGCGAGGAGGAAATCTCCATCGAGGACGACAACTCTCAGGTACGCCACGGAACGAGAGAAGTCCACGAAGACGACTAACAGGTGAATAGNGCTACTGCTGAGGGCTCAACAGAGATGCGCGAGTACTTCAACTTTGCCCGCATTGCTACCCCTGAGGTGGTGCCCGTTCTGCTCGAGCTCCTTGCCAAGCAGGACGAGGATGCCGCTGATGATGAGTACAACATCTCTCGCGCTGCTTACCAATGTCTACAGCTCTGGGCCCAGACAGTCGGCGGAGTCATTGTCCCCCAAGTCCTCCAATTCGTCGAGAAGCACCTGCGCTCCGAGGATTGGCACTACAGAGACGCCGCTGTCTCTGCCTTCGGTGCCATCATGGAGGGACCCGACGAGAAAGTCCTTGACCCTCTGATCAAGCAGGCCCTACCTGTCATGATTGGCATGATGGAAGACCCCGTCATCCAGGTTAGAGATTCGGTTGCCTATGCCCTTGGCCGTATCTGCGAGACGTGCTCCGACTCGATCGACCCCGCCACACACCTGCAGCCCTTGATCAGCTCTCTCTTCAACGGCCTGTCCAGCCACCCCAAGATGGCTTCGTCATGCTGCTGGGCTCTGATGAACCTTGCCGACCGCTTCGCTGGAGACCCGGGCTGCCAGGAAAACGCTCTGTCTGCTCACTTCCAGAACAGTGTCACGCACCTCCTGCAGGTTACCGAAAGGTATGCATAATGAGTAGACTAGTGTCTTTGGACTCAACTGACGTGCCATCCNAGAACCGACGCCGACCACCAGCTCCGCACTGCTGCTTACGAGGTCCTCAACGCCTTCGTCACCAACTCGGCCAACGACTCGCTCCCCATCGTCGGCCACCTTACCAACATCATCCTGGAGCGTCTGGAGACGACCATTCCCATGAGCCAGCAGGTCGTCAGCGTCGACGACAAGCTCATGCTTGAGGAGATGCAGACTAGCTTGACCAGTGTTGTTATTGCCATCATTCAGCGTCTTGAGACCGAGATCAAGCCCCAGGCCGATCGTATCATGCAGCTTATGCTCCAACTGCTCAACACGGTTGGCCCCAAGTCTTCGGTCCCCGACACCATCTTCGCTGCCGTCGGTGCCCTTGCCAGTGCCGTCGAGGAGGACTTCGCCAAGTACATGGAGGCCTTTGCTCCCTTCCTGTACACTGCTCTCGCCAACCAGGAAGAGCCTGCCATCTGCGCCATGGCCATTGGTCTCGTCAGTGACATCTCGCGTGCCTTGAATGAGAAGATCCAGCCGTACTGCGACGCCCTGATGAATAACCTTCTCAACGACCTTCGCGTAAGTCTAGCGAATCATCCGGAGTTCCACTACTTTTCTGACGAATTTTGACAGAGCTCGACGCTCGGCAATCAATTCAAGCCGGCCATCCTCCAGTGCTTTGGCGACATTGCCCAGGCAATCGGCGGTGCCTTCGAGACCTACCTCTCCGTGGTCGCCCAGGTCCTCCAGCAGGCCGCCTCCATCAACGTGCCCGACACTTCCTTCGAGATGCTCGAGTATGTCGTCACTCTCCGCGAAGGCATTATGGATGCCTGGTCTGGTGCTCTTATGGCCATGAGGACTGGTGGCAAGAGTGAGTGCAAACGACAAAATCTTTCTGCTTTCGTGACACTGACTTTCTAATAGGCNCAACTGTTGGCTCCTTACGTCGAGTCGGTCTTCGGTCTTCTGCAGACCATCTTCCAAGACCCCAACCGCTCCGAGGCCCTGCTTCGCACTAGCATGGGCGTCATTGGTGACTTGTCAGAGACCTTCCCCAATGGCGAGTACAGTGCCATGTTCAGCCAGCAATGGGTCACCAACATGGCCCGCGAGGTTCGTGCCAACAAGGAGTACTCTCAACGTACCCAAGACACCGCTCGCTGGGCACGCGAGCAGATCAAGCGCCAATCTGGTAAGTAACTTGTTCAAGCCCTCCCACCAAGAGTCGCCGCTAATCATGATTCTCGTAGCTGCTGCTGCCAACATCAACATGTCCTAGGAGGACGCGGAAGCTTGGTCAGACTCTAGACACGCCTCTGCTTGGGAGAGAATCTCCCTGAGCGCACAGCGAAACTCCGTCGATATCAGCACCTCCTAACCTAAACTCGACGCGAAGACGACGAGAAGAGCGTCGACTATCGGACTCCTTCCACCACAAGCTCCAGCCTGCACTTCACATCATGAAGCGGTCATAAGCAACACTTCAAACAACTGCACAGCAGAATAGGGGCCACGTTTAGGTTGCAGAGGAGCGAGAAGGAGAAAGATGAAGAAGCTTTGGAGGAAGCTGCGAAGGGTGCACGGCGCTTTATCGAACGAGATTGCATGCCCTATGCACAATCCCCTATATCCTACACCCCCTTACCCCGATCCACACACCATACCCACACTCATCACACTTTCCATCCAACATCATCACCCATCATGTACCCCATCCAATGAAAGACTCATGTATACGCACAATCATGTAAGGGAGGACTAGACTTTTTCGATCACACCCACCGAGGGGAGGTGTCGAGCAACTCTGATGAGCTAGTACCTAAAACCCAAACAAGCCCCTCGGAAATTTCACGATACCCCCAAATCATTGTTACAAACTACAACTTCTCTGAGTGATGAGGCCTTTGTCTTGTGAGAAACATGTCTCAAGTATTGATGCAATGGCCATTCGTCTTTTCTTTTCTGGGATATGATATTGCCGAGTTGCATGGAGGATGTCCTCAGTGGTCCACTCACAGATTCGATCTTGCAATTGATAGCTCACGTATTAGTCTGCGTTGCTGCAAATCAGGAATAAATATCATATGAAAGGCAGTGTCAAAGCATGCAAAACGAAAAGAACCGATATGAACCCAGAGAAGAAAGGTGCTTCGGTAGATGAGCCAAGCACGACCAAGTAGGGTAGAAAGGTCACGTCCCAAGCAGAGGAG